AGATATTAAAAAGATACTTGAGTTTCTGATTGACAATATCTATGTGGTTTTTGGAGACCAGGCCTTCCAACAATCTGTTGGAATTCACATGGGTACTAATTGCACCCCCTTATTAATAGACCTATTTTTGTATTCATATGAAGCAGAATTTATTCAAAATCTTATGCATTAAAAAAAGAAAACTCTTGCTTTGTCCTTCAACTCCATATAGATATATCGACGGCGCATTAGCAATTAACAATAGTTATTTCCATTCATATGTCGACATGATATATCCCAGTGAGCTTGAAATAACAGATACCACAGAGTCTGACACATCTGTTACATTTTTGGATATTTTACCAGAAAAAGACGTTAGTGGAATTTAACAACAAAGCTTTATGATAAACGTGATGTCTTTAACTTTTCAATCGTCAACTTCCCTTACTTATGCAGCAATATACCCTTATCATCTTGGGTTTATATCTTTCAGTTGATTCTATACGCAAGAGCATGCTCTACTTCTGAACAATTTCTAAAATGAGGTAAGTTATTGACAAACAAGTTGATGAAACAAAAATATCAATAGTCTTGTTTAAAGTCATCATTTCGTAAGTTCTATGGTTGATACAATAACCTTGTCAGCAAATACAATCTATCATAAAATCAAATGCTGACTGACGTTTTTCATACTAATTGTTAGAAAGAGATAGGACTATCTCTTGGAAAGATGGTCATTGAGAGAACAGCCGACCGTAAAGTTGGGGACTGAATTGATATTTTGACAAAAGATGCGGATATAAAGTAGATACACTTTCAACTAATCTCGACAAGTCCGTCGCAAGGTTTCTGGAAAGGGGGTGTGGAGAGGGTCTTGGAGGGATACCCCTTCTTCTAAGCCAAATTTTTTTTTTATGAAAAGGGTACAATTTTGGTGGGTTCTGATGTTTTCAGGAAATCATTTTCAAATATTAAATAAACAAAATCAAGTAAGATTACGTTAAGTAGATAAATAATGAATTTATCATAAAGATTTAAAAAAAAAAAAAAAAAAAGATCGATGGTGCGATCGCACCTAACACACCTATTCTTCCGACGGCCTTGCTCGACTGGGATTTGTCTTGGCTGGATAAACTGACGTCGCCGTCGAATCTCAAGACAGTGATTCATGCCTGGAAATTTACACTCAACTTCGGCTGGTTTTAACTTTTGAAATACACATAGGGGAACATTGACGTTCACTTCAAATATCGTTATTCTATTTAAACTTTACTGCTTCCTCTATATAGATATGTAAATACAAAAACAATAAAAAAAAAAACTTATTTTCCGTTCGGATATTGGCTTTCAAAATAATTTTTGTATCTCTTAATTTGAAGAGTTCCTAAAGTCTATATTTGCCATTATAGACTATCAAAATACGTACTACACAAGTTCTTTAATAACAAACTATAGAAACTCTTCAAATAGGAGATACAAAAATCATGACTTGCCTTAATGTGTGGATGTTTTGTTAATTTGTTTGTTGTTTAACGTCCCTCTCGAAAATTTTTCACTAATATAGAGACGCCACAACTTGCCGGTGGAGAGCTGCAAATTTATATCTATAGTGGGCACTTAGGGCAATTGAGCAGTGAGGGATCTTTTTCGTGCCAACACCTACTGTGACACGGGACCTCGGTTTATACGGTTTCATCCGAAGGACCGGTCTCCACGTCCCGCAGTGGATTCGAACACGCGACGTAAGGATCAACTCCTTACTCTGCGACTCTAGAGCAGACGCTCTAACCACTACGCCACGCGGGCGACAATGTCTCAATGTAAGCAATGATTAATTTTATAGAAAATGAGTATAATTTGAAAGAGATGTAATATTCATTCACAATTAAAACCCAGTAATCATATCATATGAACACTGTTTGCATCTTAGAACAAAACTGACCCTAACCTAAATACAATGTGACTTTATAAAAGTGGAGTAAAACTCGGATATATGGAAGTCACAGGGACTTCAAATTTTACTCTCTTATAAGTAAACCGATATTCTTCATATCGATGTAAAGATCATGTGTGAAAAGTCGCCTAGGAGATTCATCAACAAATAAATAATTAGATTTTAATATATATATATATATATATATATATATATATATATATATATATATATATATATATATATATATATATATATATATATATATTTATTATAAGAGAAAGGGGAAAAATCTTCTTTGATTAACAGACGATAATACATAATATGCAACTTAACGTATTTTTCATAAGCATTGTAGAGAGAATCGATGTGTGGGGAAAAACTACTTGATAAATCTTGATCTGCTAATCGTTTTAACACCACAGCACAAGATGTGATTTCTCAGTTTGCCGATTTATCTTCAGTAATTAGAACTTATCCTTCTCTTGTCTGAGAAGGGAAATTTGGAGTTAAATGAAGCGTCTGATAACCCTGCGGTAACTGAAAGGTCTGAGACACCTGTTCTGAGGTCTTTACTTTTCTCAGACAGGAAGTCTCTGGTGGTCATGGTGAGCATGTTGGTCAGGCTAATTAATGTAAAATTCTGTCTTACTCATGGTTACAGCGTAGAAAAATAGAAGAAAAAATTCTTTTGAATTAAGGCATAAGCAAAAGACATGTATACTAGTATTTTAAGTGATGCTCTCTAACCTGATAAAATATTCTTTTTTTCTTTATATATATTTATCTATTTTGAAATTATACGACATGTATATGAAAAATACGACAGTATATGAAAAACTCTTTAAAAATTAATCACTTACAATTTATGAATCAGGAACTACAACGCTGACGACTTATAAAATGCGATTTGTCGAACCCTCGAACCAAGCTGTTGCCTTCAGCCCAACTGCCTCAGACAAAAGTTTGGCTCTCGGGTCCAAAAAAAAAAAAACAAACAAACAAACAAACAAACAAACAAACAAACAAACATATGCTGTCCTCGAACTTTTACAAAAATATATATATTGTTTCTCTTTTAAAGTATTTCCTACATACTAAAAAAAATTCTAACATTTCGAATGTTTTACTGAGTACTAGTGGTCCTCGGACCACCTTGAGAGATAATGGATCTGCCGATGAGATATTGGACCAGTTTGACTTTTTTTTTTTTTTTTTTTTTGTTTTGTTTGTTTGTTTGTTTTTTTTTTTTACGTCAAATGGTATTCGGGATCAGCTATATCATTCGCATTCATGGTGTTCGATACTTATCTGGAACTGACCGATTTAAATCAGCAATGCGGGTAAATGAAATTTACATCAAGTATCGCAAATATGGAAGCCAGCGCAAAAAATTGTCTTTCCACAAATTTTATTTAAAAATACTTCGTTGTTATGACTATTTCAAAGTAATCATAACAACAAATTAAAGTTTATTGTAAATAAAAGTTGTGGAAAGACAATATGTCAAAATAATTAAATACTAGTAATTAAAGGTACATATATAACAAGACATTTATTGACTTTATTCTCGAGCAAAATGTGTTTAGCCAAATTCTCGAGCCAAACTTTTTGCCTTCAGCCTAACGGCCTATAAAAAATATTTCCTAATGGCCTCAGGCAAACAGTTTGGTTCTTGCGTCCGACAAAACGTATGTTGTCCTCGAACCCATTCAATAAATGTATATCACTTAACTTTTACATGATTAAAGTAGCTAAATTTTGAGAGATGCCGCAACCAAACAAGAAACAATCATAAATCATTAACTTTATATTTTCAAAGTAATTAAAAGTACAGGTTATTCTACGTGCTTAATTAAATTTACATTAAGGAGTACTTGATAATTGTATTAAAGAAGTTATCGATATACTTTTTTTTTTTTTTAGAAAAGCAGTATTATCTACAAGCTCAAATTTATTTAATGGACTTGCGCAATTCTTTCATAAAACTTAGTGTTGCATATTATGAAAATTTGTTCAATGCATGGTCACCCAACCTAGCTTCAAGCTAGCATAATACACTAGATTTGCTGCAACGGAATTCTGGTGCTTTTTGAAATTCTCACGTACCGTGCCATAAAAAATTATTATAATAAAACACGTCATCAGAAGAAAGTGCCCGTCTGCTTGTAAAATATCTTGGTGTAACAGAGAAATCTTCAATAAGCAATTTAGCAGCACAGTTGTTCTCATTTCGAATAATAAACTTATCTCAAATTCATTTCGGTCAAATCTTGATTAAAACCGGATCCCAGCTTTCGTATATCTTGATAATGTGCGATACTTGCTCGCGCGATCACAGGGCACGAGTCGTTTTACGCAACGCTTGGTGATCGATCAATGTAGGCCATGGAAACCCGAGCCCCGGGGAAGCGAGGCACTCTGTTCCGTATCTACTTCGTCAAATTCTTACCACATGTTTTCTCGTGCCGTATCATCCATGTCTTTTGGTTTCCATAACAACGACTCCTTCTCCCACTACTACAATGTCACTTTCGAAGATTTATCAAGCTATTTTATATGGTAAAGCACGTGCTTTTCGAGGCACGTAAGCATAAAAACCAAGATCTGTAAAGTTGTTTGAGAATTAAAACAATTATGTAGTCGGAAACTTGAACTCCACGCGCAATAAGGATGCAATGAAACCATGAATGGCACGATAAAAAAGATCGCATATGTTTGCAATGTTATGAAAACCCAGAGTAAAATTGTTTTCTCTTTTTTATTCCATGGTATGATAATAGGGGGAAAAGACATTACTTATGCAATTATTCCTGTATATATACATTTATATTTTTAAATCCCCAATCAGATATTAACTTGTCAGTTAAAAAAATAAAATAATGCTAATTTGAATTCGACATAATTTCAAACTGATGTGTTCAACACAGTCATGTTATGAAGAATATAGCAGTATAACATCCCATTTCTACAAAAAGACATCTATCCGTTTGCCGGCGTTTTTTGGACAGTAGTGGGAGTAGTTTTGCCTTTGACACTTGTTGCGCGTGCTTCTTGGCAGCACTGCCAGAGAGGGCTTGTCTGCCAGAAGATCGACAGCAAGCGCACGTGCTGCACGTAAACATTCACCATCGGCACTCATTTCATGTCACCTGGAAATTTACCATGCCAAAATCCTTTTTATTGACAAATCGGAGGTTTCTAATTGAAAAGAAGAAAATCAAAGAATTATCTGCAGGTAATAACTGTCTTTTACTTTTTTTTTTTTTTGCAAATGAGGATTACTTCCAAGAATTAACACTTCAGATCTTCTTAGCAAAAGAATCTACTAGTACATGATTAGCAAATAAATGTATTCTATTCTATATTATATTATTTCATTTGTTTGTTATATATATATTTCTTTGATAAATTTTGCATCAGAATAGTAAATGTATTCTAGAATGTGCTGTATGTAATTTACATTTTCTAGATACGTTCGGTTTCATGAGTGTTTTATATTTATTTAGATTGTAAGATTAATAGGGGGCTATTGTGTGTTTGCATTTTTCAGATACTTAATCAATTCATCTTGCTGATTTCATGTTGTCCACTAGGTTTTCAAGGACAAGGTGTCATATTTTATTTGTGGAATTGTTTACTCTATGTGGACTTGCAAAACAAAATCTTTATGATATTTATGTAAAAATAAAAGCTTTTTCATATATGCTTACAAAGTGCAATTCCACATATAAAGATATGTTTCTGCTAGCAACATTTGTTTATAATGAAAGAATTTATACAGAAGTTATACAGAAGAGCAGACTGTCATATTTCAAAAGTTCTCAAACCTCTTAAAGTTATGTGGTATAGAATATTACAAAGTCGTGTCCGCTCAGCAGGGAACTCAGACGGCACAGCTCGGATCTATACCGCCTCATTTTGATCTCACGATAATTACTCGAGTCTGCAAACTCATGCAGTGTAAACACTGGTCTTGTTTTCTCGTGTGTCGTAATTTTAAGGCTGACCCCTGGTGAGGCTCGAGGGCTCACAAGGTCATGAATCACCTGCAGAATCATCGCCACTGCTGATGTGATTATATGGTATCTCTCGCCAAGTGAATCATCTGTAAATGTGCAGCTGACAAATGCCTTCTGACACCTCTCTGCATCGTTTGCACACTCATCACTGAACACCTGGTGTGTTTATGTATCGAGTAAATAGACCTATAATAAAGACACCTTTTCTGACACCTCTGACAACTAGATTCCACCTGAGAGACCACTTCTTTAATATGGCTTCCATACAGAAGCATTGTATAAGAAACAAGATTTGATTTCTCTTTATTTATACTGTCAAAACAAGGCTGTTAAGATTTTTCTTACTCTAAACCTCTTGAAATATATTTATCGCGGAAGATCAATTTACTTATTTTCAAAATGTATTTAATTAAAATTTCAGAGAATAGTAACAGAAATGCAGAAATTAGGAATGACGAAAGTCCTTTCGAAGCTGGAGAGATGCATCAAAGCTGGGAAAACAATCCAGCGCAATCTAATCTACAGCACAATTTAGAATTTGTGGACTATCGTCAGATATTTTACATCGAACACGACAATAAAACACTCCCGAACAGAGACAATTCGAACGAACAGGACACCGATAATGACTCCCCGAAAGATTTGTCAACAAAAAGAAGAATGTCACCACTTACATCAATACGATCACCTGATGTCGATCTCTCGAGACACAACGAGAGCAACATTGTCTCTCACAAAATTTCGAACGCTCATACTCCACCTTTCATCACGGGACCGCGCTCATCGTATTCGTATTTTCATTTCCCGGATGACACTGGTGGATGTAGAGACTACTCAACTGAAGCAGTACCCGAATTGAAGCGCGCAACACAAACCCCATCCCTGGTACCAGACCACAGGACGGAAGTAGAAATGTCGCCGTATAACCGGTACTCAGACTTCAGTGCAGAATTACGACCCGAATTTTCGCCCATCAATCGCTGTCATGCTGAATGCTCCGATCATTTTTCGCTTTTGTATGAGCTAATAAGAAACACAAATGGTCTGTTGGAGCATAGGGAACAAATGGACACTCCAATAAATGCAAAAAGAGTACTTAATTTCGACAAACCGACTTATTCGCCTATCATCGAGCCAATATCACCAAGACCAACACCTGCAACAGAGCATGATGAGTATAACAATTACCCTTGCGAGGAATGTGGCAAGCATTACAGCACCTCGAGTAACTTAGCCCGTCACAGACAAACACACAGATCGGCAAGCGACAAGAAAGCTCGAAAATGTCCACACTGCGAAAAGGTGTACGTATCAATGCCGGCCTTTAGCATGCATGTCCGAACTCACAGTCAGGGGTGCGAGTGTCCGTACTGTGGAAAAAGATTCAGCAGGCCCTGGCTTCTTCAGGTATGATAGGATAAATCACTTGCTTTATAATGACAAACTATATAAAAACGAAAGTTTTACTTAACTTTTTTCTACATTGACCAATAGTTTGAAACATTTTACATACCAAATTAACGGAAATTTTTATTGTATTTTTTAGGGTCATATAAGAACACATACTGGCGAAAAGCCCTTTGATTGTCCCAAGTGTGGAAAATGTTTTGCCGACAAATCAAACCTCAGGGCGCATGTGCAGACTCATTCAACAGAAAAACCGTACGTTTGTGGAAGGTGTGGCAAGGCATTTGCTTTGAAGAGCTACCTGTACAAGCATGAAGAGTCTTCTTGCATGCGCGGGCAACGAAGTCGCTCTAAAGAAGAGAGGTTATCGGAGGTGCGCGCGCACAAACACCGAAACAGACAAAATTCTAATCAAGACTCATCACCAAGTACCCAAGAAAGCTTGGCATAGTCAAACATGGCATGGTAAATTTTCCAATCATCACGACCAAGTTCATTGTTTGTATCTCAATACTTTTGTCACAACACACTTTTCATTTTTCTATGCATTTCAAATCTAGACTGGACCATTCCAAAATACGTGTCGTACAAATTGTATGTATCGTATTTTTGCTTTTACATAATCTATCAAAATGGATCTTTTTTAAGACAAGCAGCATTCCACGGCAAAAAGAAATATTGCCAGATTTCCGTTGTCAGTTCGCACATTCATTTACTTCATCTAAATATAAACAGAACGGAATTTTGATAAGTAATCAATTAAGTGTAGATTTTTGTAATTTATACACGATGATTGGATTGAATAATATTTTAAATGAAATAATCTCGAAAATAGTCAGAGAACTATTTAAAGTAACAACATACTACTCTAATTCACGAAATGAAAAATCCAGGGTATGAAGTTACAAAAAAGGTAGTAATGAAAGATAAATTTAGTCAAAATATTTATAAAGATTAACGGTTAGTTTATAAATGGTACCGATAGAATACTAAAAAACACAAATATAATATTCAAACTTTCATTGGTCTTTACTTGGTCGTCATTGATATTATACCGAAAACGTCATTATGTCGCCTCATATGGTTTTCATTAAGTCGTTCCTCATGACACTTTCGTTTGTAGTTGTTGTCCGTCCGAAACTGACGATAAAGCTATCTTTCTGTGTCTGTTAGAAGGGCTGTCTTTGTTGTCAAGCTAATCAGAGACCCCTTTAAGCATGATGGGAAACAGACTCAAAAATTGTGGAATATGCCTATCGTGATGTAAGAACATCCAAATGACTTGAAATAAAAGACTGATGAATTTTCTCAATTAGTCATAATTATGAGCACATATAATGACGTATTTATATGTTTTATAAACAGCATTAAAAATAGTTATCTTTTTATATCTTTTGCAATTTGCTCAAATGCGAAAAGGAATCGAAGTCTAAAACCCTATATTTGTCTTCGTGATTAGCATGAAATAAAAAAAAAGTTTGATGAGCAACTTATGCACCTTCAATGAAATGAGTAAATAAATAGATAAATAATAAAAATAAATAGATAATAGATAAAAAAAAAAGATCTTAAAACAGATTTTTAAAAGGGCTGATTTCTGTGGACACGAATTTGTAAGCGTTTTTTTTTTTTTTTTTTTTTTTTTTTTTTTTTTTTTTTTTACATTTCTTACTAGTGCTAATCACAAGAATGTGTCTTGTTTTATGTAATGAAAGATCAGAAATCTTAAAAGTTTCCAGAAATTACTGGTTCAGATTTGAAATAATTGTTTGAATAAACCAAATCGCATATCAATCATAAGACCTTCTACATGTAAATCAAGATGATATGGACAACTTTTGTGATTCCATATTTAAACATCTAAGTGCTTAAAAAGATGTAAAAAAATGATTTGGTAATTTTCATTGTATATAATACGGATTTGTTTGAGAGCGTGCGATTTTTTTCAACCCAAAGTGCTTTTTAAGTGAGTTTACTTATGTGTGATAATTTATTTTTATTTATTCTGTCTGGAGTGTTGTGTGTTGCATATTTATTTTGAAATAATTTTATTTATTTTCCATGTTCGCCATTTATTTATAGTTCTGTACATTACACATTACGCCATTTCTCAGTTTCAAAACATTTATATATTTTACATTCTGAGTATTTGATGCAGATTATTTTGTTGATGAGTATCTCATGAAGTCAACTCTGTAATGTTTTTTTTTCTTCTGTTCAGTATATACTTGTTCAGTGGGTAATGGACGACCAATAAAATCTATCCATGCAGACAGATCTGTTGCTGGAAAGTTAAAGACGTCGTGTAATTTTACATTAAAAAATGTTTGGAATTTTTCTTCTATTTTTATATATTTTATTGACATTTTTTTTATCCTTTTGTTTGGTGCGCTTGGCCTTTGCCTATTTGACAACTCTTTTTGAAGGCATCGACATTTTGTATTGAAAGCAAACATGTTTTGTTTTGTAGTTTACTTCTTCATATTATTAAACCTAACATCGTGAAAAGTTGTAAAAGATATATATTTTTTCAAATATTTGATGGTAGCTTTTAATTTTTATATGTTCATTTTTTTTTTTAACAAGTTATTAACAAAATTTGTGAATATTGTCGAAGCAATGACTCTATGTATGTTTCTCGAAATTTCCCAAGAATAAAATCTGGCACTTTTGGACGGTTTCCTTTGTTTATGTGAGATACTATCATAACATGTGGGACGGCAGAAGATCTGCAGCATGTCGATGTGTGAAGTGATGCTAGCTACGGTAATTGTGGCCGAAAATCTAGATAAACAAATGATTAATTGTGACACTAAGCGGCCCCGATGTTTGGAACACGCCAATGGTAGCGACCCGCTTGTGTCATTTATAACAGCACACGTCTTCGGAAGAGGAATCTTTCTGACAATTTATGATTGAAAAATATTCCATGTGTTCATGTTAAACACAGAAGCTTGTGACCTGAGCGGGGAAGGAGAAGAGTTTTCCTATTTTGTACAAGAACGAGTTTTGTATCAGAATTACAATTCAAGGTCGTCTGTCCCGCACGGTAACAAACATAAAACAGAGGCAGTGGAAATGCTGAGCATTGCATAATTCTAATTACCAGGAATCTTTAAATGGTCGTGCTGCTCGCTGAACGTCAAACTATACTAACAACACATGTTCCCTTTTATAAATTAATTCTATGCCGATTTCGAATAATTAACCAAAGTATACACTGCTGACAGGCAACCTTAAAATCGTTTTGACAGCAAAATATGAATGTCTAATTAAAATGATTTGAAAAATGAAACGTGAATAAATCTGACATATTTGATCATTTTTATTTTATGAATGAAATAGCACTTCCTTTGCACTATTCCCACGGTTGCGTAGAAATAATTTGTGTAGTAGGCACTTTTCCAAGACCATATTCTCGAAGAACAGTGTAAAAAAAACAGCTGTCAAATCACGGAATAACTTCCGCTGTTTATATTTTACACAAAAAACATAAATGAGGAAATCTCTATTGACGGAATGCATCTTCCACGTTTTTCTTGAACCACTGAGCAAAAAGTTCTTCATAATGTTTGTTTACAATAGCGTGGGAACGATGGGTCGTATTATATACTGATGACGCCTGTTAAAGATCGGGATCGAGTACGAACAGACATGCACAAAAGTGATCTTCAATGGCTTCAAAAACTATGCACAGACAGCCAAAGCCGGGAGACACTTTTTACGCACGCTCTTTATGAGAAACACGTGTTCACCACGATTTTACTTGCATAATGGATTTTTGCAAACATTCTGTACGAAGATTGTATAAAATTAAGACAAGGGTAATTTACTTGCATGTTTCCTCGCGTGCCATTGCTGCACGAGTCAACATCAACTCGTCTTGTAAGCATAAAAATCTACTCAATCTCGGAAGCCGATGCTTATGTAGGCCTCTGGTCTTAATTAACAATGAAGAATTGACATAATTATGGGTGTCAGAACTGGGTGTCGACTTTCCACAACAAGAGTATGCTTTTACACTAGGTCACCTATTTCACTTGCAGGCCACAATTCCAGTCTGTAGTCTCTTGCATACCCGAAACATTAGGAACGTGTGTTTACTGCACACGCCCTGTGTAATTTTCTGGGAGGAGAGGGGTCTTTGATGTAGCATTAGATAATATAAATATGACAAAGCCATAGAACGTTAATGAGGCTCTATCTGACAGTCCAGATGTCGTTATGTTGTAACAAGTCTGCTTTACTTATAACAAAAGTAATGCAATCACTTGATCTTGTCCTACAAGAAAGTCCATTCTTGTAATATGAATATGTGTTCAGATTCCACTGTTTAGTAGAATTTCTGGTAGAATTTCTAGACAAATGACATAACTTGGCATAGCAGAAGACTGACTAAGAGTATGCCCTGTTCAGAACAGAAGACATTGTTTAATTTCTAATCGTATGTGTACATGAATGTAAAACCTTGTTTTTTATTACACCGTGTTACAAAAATAATTCAACTTCTCGTGGGCAGGGTACCTCCGACCTTTCTGAAATTTCTCAAAGATCTGATCGACGACTTCCTGGTGTTATTTGGCCTAATATTCATAATTTTAAACGCGAGTTGATAAAATATCATGTAAGAAATATTGAGTACAGATGACAAGTTTTCATTTCCGTTATTTCTGCACGTGCAGGATCGCGCAAGTGATAACGCTTTCTCTCAATGCCAAGTTAATGTGAGCTCTCAAGTGGGTTTCTGTGGTTTTAGCAGTTCTGAATTAATTTTCTGATTTCTCATTCATATAACTGAATGCAATGACATTGAAAGTTATCTCTTTGTATATATATTTACCTTTTCCTGTCTGGACTTAAAATGAAATGTTTATTTTGAAAATTAAAATTTTGCAGTAAAAGTAAATTTTCGCATTTGCTTAGGTACGAATTTCCAAATTTCGATTGGATAATAGATAGACGCATATTTCTATAAATTGTACATTTCTTAACTTTAAAACTAAGCAAATATAATAAATTTATCTTTGTATAGATATACACTGAGAAATGCCGTATATTTGCTTAGATTTAAAGTTAAAGTGAAGTTGAAAATCAAAAATGTTTTTGATTTTCAACTTCATATTATTCTGGATAACAGTTTAAACAGATTTTTATACGAATACACATAAAATGAATTTTTTTTTGCGACGAATTAATGAAATATTAATGAGACAGTTGTGAAGGTGTTCTTGTGTAACAGAATGTACTGAAAATCTGCAGTGTCAATGCCGCGCCACTGTAGACTGCAGAGATGAAAGGGAATATCACGGGGTTATAATGGCAATTTCTTCAGTATTTATTACACAAATCTTAATGTGCATTTTAAAAGTTTGATGAATTTAAATTTCAATTTTATATTATAGCATTCAGAATATATTATCTAGCACGTTGAGGGATATAATTGATATAAAAAAAATGTTTTTTGGTAGAAATACAATTAAACTAGATGAAATCCCGCGCAAGCGCGGGGAATTGTTTAAAATCCCGCATTAAGTTTTGAAGCAGATGTACGTCTCCATCGCCCTCCTACCCCTTTTGTAAAAACTTGAAAAATAACAATTTCATTTATTGACGTTTATTTTGAAACCTGTTATACTATGTTATGGATATTGTACTTCAGGTGCTCTTATTATGTTCCCCAAACGAAGTTTGGGAACATATTGTTTTTACTCTGTTTCTTCTTATTATTAAGGTCTTCCGTCTCCACGGAAGACCTTATAGTGATTCTATTGTTTCTTCTTATTATTAAGGTCTTCCGTCTTCACGGAAGACCTTATAGTGATTCTACTGTTTCTTATTATTATTATTATTATTATTATTATTATTATTATTATTATTTTTCATTTTTATTTTTCTGACCTTTTCAAATCGCGATATCTCAAAAACTACTCAATCATTTTCAGCCAAATTTTCAGGAATGATGTATTATCTCATGCCATTTTGAAATATTGAAAAAGTTTGGAAAAAATTACTTCCGGTCAGGAATTATTACGATTTTTCACTTTTTCCACTAAAAATCTAGTCCGTGAATGTTCTCAGAAACTGTTAAAGGTAGGAGTCTGAAACTTTCAGGTATGATAGAATGTCGTTTCTAGATGTGTGATCGAAACATTTCGTGTGTCGTCGCCACTTCCGGTCGTCACAGGAAGTGATTTAAAAAAGGCAATTTTTTGAACTTTTTTGTTTTTCATTATTTTTCTATGATATTTACAGGTTTAACAGAGAGTCTTACCAGAATGCTAATTATGTAATTTATTAAAAAATTGATTAACCTAGACTCTAAATATTTATCATTTTTCAATTTTAAGCGATGGTCTTCGATAGCGTAATGGTAAGTGCGTTGAATTTTCACGCAGGCGACCAGGATTCAATCCCCAGGATGTCCGAGTGTTTACTCACTTTTCGGGGGCCCAAAATATAATTTTTTTCTTAAATGGGGGGGGGGGGGGCTATGTCCTTCGACATCAGAGCAGCGGTGTTTGACGTCACATTAACGGCGTGTCTTTTTAGTCCTTCATAAAGTGTTTGCAGTTGACATTTGCACTAATGCATACATGTATATGCAGTTGTGATATATATAAATGAGGTACACATGTATATGTAGCTAGGTACATATGCAATTGTATCACAAATTGAAGACTTGCCAACTTGTTTTTTGTAGAATTTATTATTTTCTCATGATGATTATTAATAGAATTACATAAAGCAATTTCAAATGAGAAAAAGAACTTAATGACATTTAGTTTAGAGCAAGATCCATCATAATTAAGAGCTCAAAGCGGCTAAGCATAAAAGGTATTGTCAATTAATGATAAACAGTGTATTTACAAAATAAAACTACTCGAACATTATGTGAAAAAAATATGCTTTCACGAAATACATCAGTGAATTGTCAATCAGTTTCTTATGTGTGAGTGGTGCTGACTCGGAGAGACAGAAGAGCATATGCGATAATAAGGTGTCAGTCGTCCGTCCGTCTGTCTGTCTCTAAACGATTTTTCAAAATGCTACTCCTCCTACAGTTTTCGTCTGATTTAAATATAACTTGGCACAAAGTAGACTACACTAAGATACATAATTCTGTCTAACGGTTTTTGATTTCGATGAACGGTGTCGTCATGGTGACGAAAAATAGAAATTTCTGTGATATACTTCCGAAACACTACTCCTACAGTTTTACTCTGATTTTGGTATAACTTGGCACACAAGTAGACTACACTAAGAAACATAATTCTATTTATCGGTTTTCGATTTTCATGAACGATGTTGCCATGGTTATTAAAATAGAAATTTCTGTGAAATACTTTCAAACGCTACTCCTCCTACAGTTTTGGTCTGATTTCAGTAAAACTTGGCAAATATGTACACTACACAAAGAGACATAATTCTGCTTATCGGTTCTTGATTTCAATGAACGGTTTTGCTATATGGTTACTAAAAATAAATTTTCACAATATAAACGTTTAATCATATTTTATGTGTGAAGGTGTCAAAGGGAATGTAAAACATAACAAATATTGTTTAGTGAGAAAGCAACTTCTCTTATGACAAAGAAGGGACGGAAGACCTTCTTGTTGCCATGGCAACAAGGTTCTAGTTATTATTATTATTCTTTTTTTTTTTAGACAAAATT